GTGACGGGGATTTGAACCCGCGACCCTCAGATTGCGAGTCAAGTGCCTTAACCACCTGGCCATGCCGAGCCCGACTCAATAGGCTGGGAGTGAATTAACCAACAGGCTTTACAAATAGAAATAGGGTTATGTCAATTTTGACCACTTTAGGACATTACCCATAGCTCATAGTGTTTACATACAAATTTTGGTTGAGACTGACCCAATAGGCTTGGAGGTGTTAGGGTGCAAACAGGCACACATTTTGTCTTTATACATATAAATAATATCATTCTTGGTGTTTGGATATATGAAAGAATAAAGCAATAAAGATTATGTAAAAATACTAACACTACAAAAATGCAAACATAAATATATCTTAAAGTAAGCACTGAAGGCTAAGTTTGTAAATTTGGACGTTTGTATTACTTTATTGGCTAGAAGAAATTTTGACATTACATGATTAGCGCACGTATTAACGTCTGGAAATTTCTTGCAAATTTAGGAAACGAATTGAATGAAACGCGAGTTTACACTAGAGCTGAGGATTGAATAATGAAAATTGTCTAATTTAAGTTCATTTTTAATTTTAAGATATTGCGTAGAGTAACAAAACTGATGTTTGTTTGTTTGTAATTAAGCACAATGGTACACAATGGGCTATCTGTACTCTGCCCACCACGGGTATCGAAACTCGGATTCTAGCGTTGTAAGTCCGCAGACATGCCGCTGTGCCATTGATGTACCAAAACCATAAAATATAAAAGACATTTTAAACGTTTACATTCATTCATGAAATATGTAATTTATTTTATTTTTTGGAGTATTTCAAGTGTACTTTTCCAGCATTTCTAAACAGTTACAACAGATTTACCGTACCGTTATTTAATAATATCAGCGATAAACTTGTTTCTACTTTTAGGAGATCTGACAAAGTTTAAAACTATAAGAATTAATAATCAAATTGAATGCTAAAATTCCATTTATGTAACCCATCCCTGTATAAAAATACCCACCCCAATATAATTCCCATTTAACCGTAGAATTTTGAGTAGAAGGATGGAGTCGCCAATTTTTCGATCTAATTAATTGATCACGCCCAAAGACTCATAGATTAATTTACTCTGCTACTGCCTAAAATAATTTCAATTTGAGGGTATGCTGTTAGAGATCCTGATGAGTAATAAAATCGAATCGGGTGTATGCGCGTCCCACGCTTGGTATTGCTGGCGCAAAAAATATAGCTAATAAAAAGTAAACAAAGCATAAATTAATTTACTCTATTCCTGCCTAAAATAACATAAGATGCAGCGGCTATTAAGGATTTCCTCTTGTTTTTAATTATCATTATAGCGCAAAGCCACTCAACAGAAAACTCTTGGTCAAGTATTACAACCCCACTCTGTTAAAACTAAAAATGTCAATTAGAAAGTTGTAAAACAGCAAACAAGTATATTGTTACACCTTCGGTCGTTAGTTAATTTTCCGTAAATTTCGTTCCGACGAAACTTTAGCGACGCAATTCCTTTCTTAAATAAAACTGGTTTATTCTTTCTGAATACAACTTTGCAATACATTAATTTCCACAGTCGCGCTATAATTCACAACGAACGTCTCACGTGCTCAACTCAACAATATTCTCTCTCTCTGTCTGCAGTTCACTTACCATTACATTACCTTGTTGCCGTCACTTCTTGGCCGTCTTATATAAAAGAATACATAATATCTAGTAACCTCCCGAGGATTCACGAAGCTTCGAGAATATGACGTGTTACTAGCGTCACGTGACCTCCGCTCTCGTAACACTGCCCCTTCCTTAGTATTGTTTGTCCCGACAATAGCCACTTACATT